TGCTGGCACTGTACTCACTGTCTCCTTTTTATTCAGTCTGGGACCTCAGGCTAGGGGCTGGTGCTGCCTACTTTCAGGGTAGATCTTCCCACCTCAGACATACTCAGAAGTGTGTCTCTTAGGTGAATCCAATCACTCTGTCATAATTACCCTCTGATAACCTGCAAGGAGCACTCAGGATGAATTTTAACATCTGGTTTACAACTTCTAATACCTTTATTCTGGGCCTCTAATTTCCTTTTTTCCTCACTCCTCCTTACACTTCCACACACATCTTTGGTGTAGACTTACAGATCTTCTTGTGGTTTCCTGTAATTTATGTGTTTTAAGCTTTCACACACACACACACACACACACACACACACACACACACACACACACAGACACATACACAGGCACACACACACACACATACGCGCGCGTGTGCACTTTTTGCCTAAATACCTTCCTTACAACATCTTCTTGCTTAATTCAAGTCCTTTCCTTCCTATAGCATTGACTCTCTTGCCTGGAGTCACCTCCATCCACGTCACCAACCCATTCCAATGTCTCCACTATTATAACTTAATCTCTTCCAAGCATAAGCTCCTGGAGAGGACTCTGTTTGAGTATATGATGTATCATTTAGAATGTGACATGAACTCACCTGCAAATGAAAGAAGAGCAAGGGGGAAAATACAAGAGAAAAGGGGAGGGGAAGCAGGGCAGTTGCAGGAGCAGTGGAAGTCCTGAGTGAATGTGTGTTGTTGACAAGGACTCCAATGCCTCAGACCCAGCCCAGCTGGCAAAGCCTTCCTGGAGTCAGGCTCGGGGAACTGGCAGAGCCTTCCTCTAGCCCATGTGCAAGTGTTGACAAAATGTATAGAAATCTTCCTCCTCCTGGACGTTTACAGTCTGAGAATGCTCACCCACAGAGACCTCTGATGGGGACCAGCTAACCAACCTATCTTCCAGGACTGAACACAATAAATACCCCGAAGTTCCCAGTTGTTGCACATAGGATATGCTGCTCCATCAGAGCAAACACAGCTCACCCGACTCCAGCTTTCCTGTACCTGTCTGTGTCCCTAGTCATGTTTCCAGGACCCAGCCATGAATTATGTGGCAAGCAGGCTGGCCACACACTAATATTCAGATGTTTAAAATAATTCCTAGTAAATTCTTCTGAGTATCTCAGGCACTGACCTGTCTCTTTCTGCAACACTAGAGAAAATAATAACTAGTTTACAATCAAGAATTCACTTGATCCTCACTAATGAGTAGGCTTTGTTGATATTGCTTTATTTACAGTGTTTTGAGAAGGAACTCATAGAATTTCATGAAGTAAATAAAATGGAGCAGGTTATAAATAGCTGCTGATTATTAAAATATGATCATAAACAAACTGTCTTCATAATTGATGAGATCTATGATGAAATAAAAATCTAGATGACTTCGTTCAAAATACAGAAAAGCTTCAAAAGAGCACCAGTAGTCCATGGGGACTAGCTCATGACCATTCTATGTGAAGGACAGAATTTGTCTGCAGAGGCTGGATGGTTTTGGAGCTGGTCCTGATCTCATTTCTCCAAAATGCTAAAGTGCTCTTCATTAGAAGGCTAAGAATAGGGTTGGATGTACATTTGATCATTGAAAACTTATCTTTCTGAATGGTTTAATATACGTCTGTTTTGTTGGACTAAAGGACCAAACTAGCCCCTTTAGAAAGGTTGGAGTGTTATCTCATGAATGGTTGCTGTCAATCTACAGGTATGCAGTTTTCTATCTGAGATGCCTTTCTTCCAACATATTCTTCACCCAGTTGAGTTCTGTGTTCTCTTGAAGCATTGCTTCTTCCAGCCCATTCTGGTGAGAACGTTTGATATCCTATAGAGGTCAACTCTGATGCCTTCAGTGTACTATTCATATTGGCTTTTCCTCCCTCATTTTACAAAAGAACAAACAGAATCTGGGAAAGTCACATAGGCAGGCAATCAATGTTTTCCAATAATATATGCTCCCAACTCCCTTTCCTGATAATCTAGCTCTTGTACATACTGCTTTCACCTGATCATAGTCATTACTGTGTAGAGTGCTTAGCATTGGCCAGCCTAGCCTCTTCCCTTTGGGTTCATCTTCACCAGGGCTTATGGAGTGATACCTGGTGCTCTATGTAGAAGTCACATGTATCTGACCTTGACCTTGTATGTGATAAAAATGCATGACCCAGTGCATGTTACACACTTATCTTTGTATCTCTATAAATGAGAGCAAAACATAAGCCAAAATGACTCATTTAAGAATATGTCACAAGCTGTCACTTGAATATGAAAAGGACCACCAAAGATCAATTCTTCCCAGGAAGCTTAAAGACGACATTAGCATTTCTTATAAGACTTGATCTGCTACAATGCTGATGCCTTTGGTGCCATGAGGGAACAGTTTTGACAGTAAAATGAACATCTTAATTGCAACATGCACTTTCAAAAACTTGGGAGTTTGTATTTCAGAAACACACTTTGTTAATTTTTTAATATTAATTTTTTTTGAAAATTTCAATGTGATTACTGTATTGACACCCCCCACACACACACACCCCAACTCTTCCTGTGTATCCTCACTCCTAAAATTCATGGCCTCTTATTCTTCAGTTATTATTGTTAAACACATATTTATAAATAAAATTTAGTGAATTCATTTAGTATTATTCATATGTTTATATGTTTAGGGCTCACTGCTTGGGCTTGGACAGCCTATCAAGGGACTCACACCAGGAGAAGACTGATTCTCCCTGAAAGAGATCCCTTTCTCAACAGGCATTAATTGCCTATAGTGCTTCATCTGTGTGTGGGGCCTTGTGAAGTTTCCCCCATTCTAGATGACATGTCAACTGTGTTTTTATAGCTTAGGTCTTGTTTCGGCAGCTATACTATTGACATTTGGTGGATGGATACAGCTTTCTGTCATGTATAGAAGATACAAGCTTGCAGTTGATGTCCTGGTCCTCTGGATTTTACAATCTTTGCCCCTCTTTTCTGTGATGTTCCCCAAGTTGTATATATATACAACTCTTCTACCTAAATATATATATATATAAAACTCCTCTCTCTCTATATATATATACTATATATATATACATATATGTATATATACATATATATGTGTGTATATATATATACTCCTCTACTACTCCTTTACACACACACACACACACACACACACACACACACACACACACACACACAGAGCTTTATATATATAAAACTATAGATGGGCAGCCCGTAGCCACCTAGTCTTGGCAGTTTGACCAGTTACAGCTTTATTTAATGGTCTCCATTTGCTGCAAAAGAAGCTTTATTTAGTAGGGAGCGAAACTGTCCTTGATCTAAAGGCTTTGTGATGTCATATTTATGCCTCTTTGTCTCAATGTCATTATTGACACAGAGAGCATCAAGGTGGAAGTTAACACCCACAACATAAGAAAAGGTGCAGAGAAGAAAAAAATGCCTGTTGGAATGTGTTACCTGCTGAGATACAATCAAGAACATTTTTTCATGGCTTAATTGGTTTAATTAATTCAAAATCTGACAAGTAACTTTTAGAAGGTGTTTAAAATATGTGCTCCTAAAGCTGATTGAGACTTTAAACAGAATGGGAAAGTATCCGGTTAGGCAAGCCTCATATTAATCATAAGCCTGTGTGGTTTAACTCTGCGGGACTGCTGTGCGAAACCAGATGTTAATTCTCCATCAACTGTGGCATGCTTGGTGGTGATACAGAACTTCATGTGGAATTAAAAGAGAAACCTGTCCTTGTGTGTAGGTGCATCTTCAGTGTCTTAGGGAGAAGCTGTGTGGAAATGGAAGGAATCTGCCTAAGGCACACTGAGGAGATTATTGATTATTTTTACTAAATTTACTTTTGAGCTGATACATGTGAATTGTATATATTAATGAGACACCATGCTGTGTTTTCACTCATGTAATAAATTGTGTAATGTTTAAATCACGTTAAACATATCTTTCCTCAAATATTTGTCATTTCTGTGTGGTGATAACCTTCACAAGTTTTCTAGTTTGTGTTGCACACATCCATGTATGTGTGTGTGTGTGTGTGTGATGTATGTATGCCACATGTGTGTCAGTATGAAAGCCACAGAAAAACTTGAGGTGTCATTTTTCAGATCCCTTCCACCTTGATTTTTGATACAGGATCTCTCATTGGCCTGTAGCTCACCAAGCAGACCAGGCTGGCCTGGGATCTGCCTGTCCCTGCTTCTTCAGCACTGGGATTACAAACACTTGCCACTGGGCCCAGCTGTTTTTGGGGGCTCTGAGGATCTAACCCAGGTCCTCACGCTTGCCTTGTAAGTACTTTCCCGACTGAGCCATCATTCCAGGCCCCTGTTATTCTACTTTTTAGAAATAGTCAGTCCATTATTTCCTACAGTCACCTTTTGTGCTTTGGCACACCAGAACTTCCTGCTACATTCTAATTCGAACACAAGACCCATTGACCCACTTCTCATCCCTCCCTGTATACAACTCTCTCTTAACCTTTGGTCATTGTCATTCTTTCCTCCGCTTCTATGAACTTAACTCTTTTAGGCCTGATATTCGAATGATGTCTCCTGGAATCTGTCATTCCATGCCTGCTGTATTTCTGTTGATATCATGATCTCTACTTTAATCCAGGCTGTCCTCAGTGGCAGTGCATCACTTCTTCCTATGGCCAACTAATATTCTACCATGTAGCTCTAATTGCTAAATACCTCTTCATAGATCTTTCTCAGACCTTCTCCTCATCATGGTCAGGAGAGGAGCACATTATAAACTCACACTATAAGGAAAAGTGTGAAGTTGAGACCAACATACCTAATAGATGATCTATTACTGTGCCTACCAAGGTCTACTTGGCAAGGGCATTGGGTTGATTTCCTAACATTGCCTGGATGGGTATTTTTTCAGAAACAACAATCCACCTTCTGTTTCAACCATTCAGCTTTCGTTTCTCTGTTGTAATATGGGTATTACATTGGAGATCATAAATAGATGTTTATTTTTAGCTCTCTAAGACTAGCACATTTATTTCACTTAGCCCCAGATTCATTGAACCTGGAGCAAATTATGACAAGTTATTGTGATGAAGATGAGGTAACAGCTTCTGACTTGGAGAAGATTTGTCTAGTGTCTTGAGTTTCCTGTCAGTATGTCAGGACATCTAAAGGAAGAAGAGGAGAGGAGGCGTGCAAAGTTCAGCCATGAGTGTGCCTTCAGTTTCCCTCATCAGACTGCACTCAAAGGCATAAGAGAAAGGAAACAAGCGAAAGCGAAGGAAGCCAAACTTCAGGCTTTTGTTCCTTTCCCAGTCGAGATAGAGCCTGCCAACCACCCAAGCACATGACCTTATGAGGTAAATATTCTTGTTCCTGTCTTAAATGCTGTGTTAAATGAAAGGGGAAAAAGACTCAAGGGCACAAGATGCCCCAAATTCAGATTAGAACCCACTGAGTATTGATTCCTCTATTTTTTTGAGAAAGAGCGAGAGAGAAAGAGAGAGAGAGAGGGAGAGAGAGAGAGAGAGAGAGAGAGAGAGAGCATGTGTGCAGGTTTAAGTGTGTACATTTCTGAGTGTGTATGTGTGTGTGTGTGTGTGTGTGTGTGTGTGTGTGTGTGTGTGTGTAGGCCAGAGGCCAAAATCAGTGTCATTCCTTTGTCACCTTGTTTATTTGTTTGATACAGAGTCACTTATTTGGATGTTACCAAGGAGGCTGACCTGGCTGACTAGAAAGCCACAGACTTTCTGTCTGCCTCTCTAGTGCTGGATGAGCATATGCCATTACTCCTGACTTTTTAATGTTGCTTCTAAGGCCAAGCTTGGCTCTTCAGACTTGTGTAAGTACTTTACCAACAGAAGTATCTCCCCAGTCCTGCTCACCTCTTCATAACCATGCTGCATTACTGTCAGGGCCCACACTACCGACATGACGTCTTAACAATGGTATCTACTTTGTGCCCATTCTGTGTCAGATGTGAGGCTATTTAAATATGGTGATTCTAATTTCCCTTATCAGCACAGAGGTGCTAAATTAGTTAGAAAGTCAATTAAAATGACAAAATGATGGAGAAGGAAATTGTCTATGTTAACACTCCATCATTTGGAGATTCTAGCCTGCTTCAGACAAGCAGACTAATTTCACATTCAATTTCACCAAGCTAACAGTCTGTGCTGGACAGTATATAATGCTCCCAATCCTGATTACTTACACAAGATGATAAAGTTTCCCAGTGTATATGTGACTTGTCCAAAAATTAGAGACTTTCCTGAAAGATGACATTTGTCTGGCCACCATTGCCACACAGTCTAGGAAAAACCATGATCCTCATGCCAGAACAATAATTTATTAGTGAAAGTGAAAATATCTCAGTGGAGAGAGGCCGGCTGGGATACAGAAAAACATTCAGTTACAAATGGTGCCCAATGGCTCAAGTTTCCACCTAAGTTCCTGCTTCATGTCTCATGGAGGAGGAGGAGAAGAAGGGGGAGAAGAGGAGGGGGAGGAGAAGAGGAAGAGGAGAAGAGGAGGAGGAGGAAGAGAAGAGGAGAAGTAGGAGAAGGAAGAGAAGGAGGAGGAGAAGAGGAGGAGGAGAGGAGGAGAAGAGGAAGAAGAGAAAAGTAGGAGGAAGAGAAGAAGAGGATGAGAAGAGGAGGAGGAGAAGGAGGAGGAGGAGGAGGAGGAGGAGGAGGAGGCAGCAAAACAACAAACCTCATCCAGATACCCCCTTTCCTTTCTCAGTCAAGATTCCATGCACTGAAAATCAGTTCCATCACTCATTGTCCAACTATCACATAATGTTAATTATTTTTCTGAACTCCAGTGGTGTATGACAGCTGCTCATTTGTCTTTAGCAGGGCAGTTAACATTTCTTGAACAGCTACACAGTTTAACTGGTAACACTATACATTTATGAGCAAAAGCAAGCCTTGTGCTAGAGACACCCAGTCTACCAAACAATAAATATGAGAGAACCAAACCATCAAGCTTTAAAGTTGAGTATCAGAAATGTCTCATGGTGTTTAAATAAACAGTGCAAAATACCAATGTTTGAATACTCAAGAGCTAAGTTCCTCAAAGTAATATGAACATACAAATGACACAAAGTTTATATTTCAGTGGATGGCAAGATAAGATTAAACCAAAGCTCAGAATACATCTGTATAAAAGGAGGTTGATTCCCCAAACAGTGATGAAGTATTTATACCATCTCTAAGGGAAAGGTTGGCATATGAATAAAACACCATCCTGGAAGGGCTTTGAAGATCATTTCATTGTTGCAGTTATCTCCTCTGGAATGCTGAGGAAATTGAGTAAAGTATAAACACTTATGGTACTTAATAAATTAAAGCCATAGATTAGATCATCATTTATGATCGTTAGTGACTATAAAGCTGTCCAAGATGTTAGCACGGGAGAGCCTCAGGTGTCACCACTGAGCACAGAGGATAACAAACTTCACTGAGACAAAAGCTCTGAGCGGCATTGGAGCTCTCTGCTTTTACTTGAAATCTTACAAACTTTGGACATTCTGTGAAACTAGCTCAACTAATATCGCCACTGAAAACACACTCATACATCTGTTTATGCCATAAATGTAAAGACACGAACATTTTAGAGCTATTTCACTTTTTGTCATTTTAATTGACTTTCTAACAAATTTAGCACCTCTGTGCTTACAAGGAAAATTAGAGTTATCACACGCAAATAGCCTCATACCCGACACAGAATGGGCATAAAGCTCAAGGCCTCTGGTTTCTGCTACACTATTGATATTGGATCTTCACTAGGGTTCCTCTTGGATATCCTGTTGTCCTATGTTATGGAGATCCTGGGTCTGTAGACTGACCCTTTCACATGCTTCAGAGATCATAGATGGGGTGGGTATTAGGGAGGGCCAACTCATAGCCCTGGTTCTGGGCCTGGGTGGTTACTGGGTTGGTCAGCCTACCAGCTCTTCCTCATCCTCACCACCAGGGTGGCTAGCTCCACTTTGGCTAGCTCACCCTATGCAGTAAGCAGCAAGGGGTGGGTGGTTCTCCTGCTCCTATGCTCTTGGGCTGGCTCACTGACACCTTCACAACCAGAGCCAGCTCTACTGTGTTGCTCAGGCGAGGTGCAGGGGCCACTCTCCTGAGTTCTGCAGCTGGTGAGAGGCAGGGCCAGCTCTCCTGCTCTTAGGATCTCAGGGCCAGTTATTCCACCTGGTGGCAAGGGGCAGGCCTCTCTCTCTCTCTCTCTCTCTCTCTCTCTCTCTCTCTCTCTCTCTCTCTCTCTCTCTCTGTCTCTCTCCCCGTCCCCACCCCCCGATGCCACCACATAGCGGTACCAGTTCTCCCACTCACATGCCTTCAGGGCCGGCTCACCCACACCCCTGCCCATAGTCATCTCTGTCTTACAGCCCAGGTGAGGTGCAGGGCCTGCTCTCTCAAGTGTTGTAGACAGTGAGGGGCAGGACCAGTTCTCCAGTTTCCCTTAGTGTTGCAGACAGTGAGGGGAGGGGCTAAATAAGTCTATTTAGCCTTATCCTCTCTGCCTTTGGTGGTAACAGAAGCCATGGACATCAATACAGACCATGGCTGCAGCAGGCTGACGGGCCCAGACATGGCCCTGGGCAGCAGCCCAGGCCTGGACACCACCATGGCCCGGGATAGCAAGCCGGCCACCCATCTCAGCCTGATCCTCGCTGCCTTCACCTCTTCAGATCTGTCTCTCTCCACCGGTTATGAACCATTCTATATCTCTCTTCCATACTCCACCATATATTTGCTCACCATAATAGGGCCCAGGTGTTCTCCTCCCCACCAAGGGCAAACAGCCCTGATGGGCTGTGTGGGTCTTTTTCTCCTGCTCAGTCTTAATCCCATTTTTCCTTTAGAATGTATTTTATTTCCAAGTGTGTGCACATGTGTGGCTGTGTGGGACTGTGTACAAGTGAGTGCAGGTGTCCATGGAGGCCAGTGAGGGCATTTGGTCTTCTGGAGCTGGAGTTACAGGCAGTTGTAAGTCATGTGATACAGGTACTGGGAGTGGAACATGGGTTGGTCCTCTGCAAAAGCAGTACATACCCTTAACTGCTGAGCCATCTCTCTACCCAACTCAGAGTACCAGTTTTTCAAGGAACAATACTAGGTTCTAAAGATTTTTCATATTTATATTTTCAGGTGTGAAACTGGACAATTCTGTTATTTCCACAAATGTTCTGCCAAACAATTTAGATTACAGAAGAGATACACACTTAGGAAGGGTCATAATTTTGAAGGGAATTTTGGAAAAAAATTAGTAAGGTCATTATTATCAGGTTTCTGAGATGCGTTTTATTTAGTAAACAGTAATCATCCGTAATTAGGACTTTTACTTTAAAAGGGTTGAAGAGATAGCACACAACTAAAGCTTGTAGTTAGGAAGTTTATTCCTTTAAAAAATATTTACTGTCAAGAAGGTGAGATAGGGCTACCAAGACGGCTCATTGGCCAAAGGCAGCTGCCCCGAAGCTCTGGGCCTGCATTCCATCACCAGGACCCAGTGGTGGGAGGACAGAATGTGTTCCTGGAAGTCTTCTTCTGAGTTCACATGTCCCCACACATATGCACACCTGTACACAAAATTAATAAACAAATATGTAATACTTTTCAAGAACGATGGAATGGTGGCTCTCTGAGTGTGAGGATTCTTCTATTTCTTCTGCTCTTTGCAGTTCTGTAGTTTGAACTCATGACCTCATGCATGATCGAACCCATGACCTCATGCATGCTAGACAAGTGATCTACCGCTGGGCTACAGCTCTAACTATCACCCTTTTCTTCATTGTTATGTTCTTGACACCTGGAATAGTGTCTAAGAGTGGGGGTTAACATTTGTTTAAATTAATTGATCAGTAATGCACTTTTTGATTACATTGACATGAGAGACAAAGAGGAAACATTTGACCATATGTATCATAAGCAAATGCCAACAAAAGTGCATTCATCTAATGCTAAATAAAAAAGACCAAGACTCACCACACTAGAGAACAAGCCCCATTTGCCTTGAATGTATTTTATAATATACTAGAGAATAAATGTAAGGAAATATTTTTTTGGGGACAGGGTTTCTCTATGTAGCCCTGGCTGTCCTAGAACTCACGCTGTAGAATGGGCTGGGTTTGAACTCAGAGATCCACCTGACTCATCTGGGATTAAAGGTGTGCGTCACCACACCTGGCAGGAAGGACAATATTTACATGGGCATAAAATGTTTTATAAATGCCCAAATGTATCCCAATTTAAAAAGAACTTTCATGGAGATAGGAAAAAAGACTGAAGCCAACTAAACACTTCCTTATAACAAATTACATTAAAACATGAGACTGGGCCTGTGACAGAAACATAAGGTCACAGGAATCTTAATGAAGTCCTTTCTGAACTTAAAGAAAAAAACACAGACACTTAGTTACTTGTGGTGATATTTTATTTGTGCTGAAATGTGGTGATATTTTATTTGTGTGTTAATAAATAAAGCTTGCCTGGAGATGGGGGAAAAGGGCAGCCATTTTAAGTAAAGAAGTCAGGTAGCACATGCCCTTAATCCCTTAGCAGGCAGGATCTCTGTGTGTTCAAAGCCACACTAGGGAACAGAGCCAAGTGTGGTGGCACAGGCCTTTAATCCCAGTACCAACCATAGAGGCCTGGAGGTCTGTACAGACAGACAGAAAGTGACAGAGCTGTGTAGGAAGAGGAAGTGAGGTAGCTGGGCTAAGAGCCAATGAGAGGGCAGAAAAGCAAGGTGTATAAGCCTGGGTAGACAGGAAATTGTGCCATTTGGAAGCTGCAGAGTCGGTGAGGTAAGGTTGGCTGGTGG